CTAAACTTGTCCAAAATGGCTCACAATGAGTCCAAAAATTGCCTAAAATGCTTAAAAAAGAATCTAAAATCACTTAAAATGGATCCAAATTAATGCAACGTTTGTCCAAATGGACTCAAAATTATTCAGAATTGACCCAAACCCTGTCTTCATGTGAGTCATCAACCGTGGAAGCTTCATGGTGATGTCTGTGCTCCAGCTTCATGCTACATGCTGGATGTTCTGAAGGCTTTTTTCTCAAAATGAGTTTGTTTTTTTTCTCTCTCTGTGCGACTCGGAGGCAGAAAATCTCCACTTCAGCAGCTTTTCCATCCATCACACCTTCCAGTTTTATTCCCGTCTATATCCTGAAGGTTTCCACGCAGCGGTTTGCTCATATATCATTCATGGCCTGATTTATGGCACATTTTATGCCCAGAAACATGATGGGGTTTGGCTGTTGACAGTGTTTTCTGAGGGGTATAGAGAGTTTCTAGGATTCCCTCTGTAGAAAGACTCCAACATGTCAGCAACATGAAACAGGAGTTTGATGTTCGGCAAGAAAAAGTCTTTCATTCGCTTCATTTAAACAGAACATTCGTTATCAAACCTGTAATGTCTCCTCTTAGACCTTCAGCAGGTGTTTTTGTTCACATCTGTGCAGCAGAAATGAGCTGTGACTGTGTATTTGAGTCTTTCTTGGTACGTTTCAGAAGCAAATGTGGTTCTTTGATTTCACTTCAGTGATGTACACTAGTTGATAACGACTTCATTGATCAGGGTTAAGTGTAAAGATGATCAACGAAGACCTAAGATTGCCTTAAAAACATGCTAAAGAAGCCCTCATTAGTACACCATATTACATGTTAGTGCAGGTGAGACCCTCCCGTTGAAACTTGTCGCACTTCAACTAGTTCTGTTGGTTCTTTTTGTTCTTTTTGTTCGACATCAGACCTTATTGATCCTCCAGTCTTTAATAATTCAAGCCTAAGGCCTGTTTGATGTCAGGCTGTTGTTTCATTTCAGCTCAGTGGGAGAGTTTTCACTAAAGTTTTGCAGCTTCACTCGGTTTTTTCAAGACGATTTCCGCCTCAGTTATGCACTGATCCATCTGTGTGGGTGATCTAATGTTGGAATAAGTAGAAAAACATCAGTCAAAGCTGCATGAAAATGTATTTTACTCATGATGCTTAAAGTAGTGACGCACGATATTAACATTTCTGGCCGATGCCGATATCAAGATTTCTGATATCGCTGATAACCGACGTCACCGATGTCGATATTAAAGTTTTGTTCACACTGAAAAATCAGTATAACTAAGCACAATCTATTTAAAAGAAGCCCAAATTAGACCACACAGTCTTCTTTGTTAAGTAACAGAAGTAAAACATATTTAAACACATTTAAGTCCAGGATCATTTCAGTAAAAACATCTGTGAAATAGCAGCGATATCAAACGTAGAGACGAAGGCGCTGATGTTAGACGATCATCGGATAAATTTGTTTATCGGACCGATGTATCGGGAAAAAACACTAATATCGACCGATACCGATGTGGTCGCCGATATATCGTGGATCCTAACGTAAACTACATTTTAGTTTGAGTCGGATATTTAATGTTTTATCTCTACTTAAACCTCCAGTGATGTGTTTTTAGGGACAGAAGAAGCAACTTATGAACTCAATATGGACAGAAAATCATCTTCTAAGTTAGTATTTGTGAGAAAGATTTGTTTATTTACAAATTCAGCGGATTAAGTCGCTCATTAGGAATCGTGTTTGTGTCTTTGGTCTTTTTGCTCTGTTTTTGGTCTCCACCAGCTGCTGAGTCAAATATCCGGTTCTTTAGCTGCTACATGCTTCTTTGTGTTGAAAATAAACAGAATTACAGCAACAGAAATATAAAGAGTGATATCTGAGTCAATAAAAAGCAGCAGCAGACCAGTGTTTTGTTGGTTTTTTTGGCGTTTTAAGACACTAAACGATACCAGAATCTTGAAGAGACAGGTGAGATTTGGACCACATGATGCTATGACGAGCTTTTAGTAAACATGTTGGTGTTAAACTCTGAGGCTGCTTCGTCTGACTATAAAGAAACCAACACAGGAAACGTTGCACCTCAGCTGGATCGACTTCTTCTTCGCCTCTTCTTTAATGAACTCCTTCTTCTCTTTGGTTTCCTTCAGTTCGTCCAGACGGCTCTGAGTAAAAACGACACCCACCTCCAGTTCTACTCGCCGCCGGTCAACTGCTGCCTGGACGGCCAGTCGCTGAGGACCGTCCTGCACCTGGACAACGTGATGGAGGAGCTGAAGAGCTTCGACTACCACCCCGACCCCACCTTCAACAAGCTGGCCAAGAACATCATCACCGAGACCAGCATCATCATCGTCACCGTGAGGACTCACCTTAACGTCGCTCCGTAGCTTTTCTTCCCGTCTGCCCGAGCTCACTGTGTTTCTGTTCGCAGGGTCGAGGTTTCTCCAAAGCGATGACGGCCAAAGAGGCTCAGGCGTTCGTCGGGGATGCTTCCTGTCACGTGAACATACTGCAGGTGAAGATAAAGGCTTTGTGATGGATTTAGACTGTAAACATCATAAAATCAAACTGAAGTCGCTAAACTTCGTGCTTGATCTCTGAAAAACATTCAGCTTTCTGATAAAATGAACAACAGAAATCTTCTAAACCTTCACTTCTCACTTTTTGCACTTTTTCGTGGCCAAAAAACGACATTTTGAACGTTTAAAGCACCAGATTTGGCTTTTATTTGTCATTATTCCTGTTAATAAGAGTCTGAATCTAGTGTGTACGAAACGTTTCCCCTTTTTGTCGCTTTTCAACGTTAAATTATGATGAATTTTATCGAATTATTTGACATAAATTTGCAAAATAAAGACTCTTTTACGTCAAAGTGGAATTGGTTTCTCCAAAATTGATGTCAATTATTTAAAAATATAAAATAAAATCTGAGTAATTGCATCAGTGTTCTCTACCTTTAACCTGTTGTGTTGAACTCTGTGTTCACTTTGACATGAAAGAGTCTTTTTAAGGTAAATTCTCGTCATAAATAAATGAAGCATAATTTGAAAAAACAAAAAGTAAAAATCCTCCAAGAAGGCTGAATATTTATTGTCGGCCCCATTAGAACAACACCAACACTGTTTGTTGTGGTTGTAACAGGAGAGCATTTTAGTTTTTGTGTTTCTGCTTTGCCCTGAAGGAAAATCGAGTCTTTTGTCGAGTTGCATCGACTGTTTGTGAACAAAGAAAGTCTTTTCATTGTGGACTTTCAATTGAAAGTCAGATTCTGTTTTTGTTCCTTTGAGTTGTGCCTCTAAGAACGAGGTCACAAACGACAGAAAACCTACAAAACACTTGATTTTGTGCCGACATTTTCTGTAGAAAACACGTTTGGCTTCGATTTTTTTTAATAAATCCAAAATTTGCACGAAAATGAAAAGTTTTGGTTCAAGTGGAACGACAGACTTTAGCTGATTTGATGGAGTAATCACATAAAAATATAATATGGTCTGTTTTATTTTATTTATTTTTCCTTTTTTTCTAATTTAATTTGTTAATGTGAAAGTTTTTTGTAAATAAGTTCGTAAATTCTCTGACAGGAAACCTCTGGATAACATTGATCTGCATGTTCCTGCTGCAGTCCGATGCAAAGTTATGAATGTAAAATAAGTGTTTCTCCAAATGAATAAAAGTAAAACAGCCTTTATCTGAGCAGTAAACAACTTCAGGGCGTTTGCAGCTTCTAGTATCTGATTCTGAGTCCAGGACAAAAGTCAATAAGGTCAGAAAACATTTTGTTGTTTGGACCACAGCAGTTGGAGGCTTTAGAAAGCTGAGCTGCTCCTGTTCTATTTTCTTCACTAATAAACTTCCTCCATCACGTGTTGGGTCCGTTCTCCTTTACTTCCCTCCTCCTGTCGGCTCTGTGCAGGACGATAAACTGATCCTGGAGGCGCCGTCGTCGCAGCCCAGGTCCAGATCCAAACGCCAGCGCCGAGACACGACCAACGACCTGCTGGAGCTCGTGGTAAGAAAACCAAGAAGAACAGAGAATTGATAAATCAGATTTATTTCTGCTGTTTAAAACGAGCTGAGATGGCACATATATATGAACAAAACATCCAGACGGGATAAAAAAAATCAAATTTTTTTAAAAAAGTGAACTAAAACAGCAATTTATGAGATAAATTTCTATAAAAATTAGATATTTAAACCATTAAAAGCAGCCAAAAGCCATCGAAAACATCTACATCTGGAGGTTTTTTTTTAAATTATCGATAAAGGAGGAGCATTAGTTGAAACATTAGCTTGTAAAAATCCAAAGGCATCATGTGTTTATTACTTAATTGCATTAAAATGACAATTTTATAGGCTATCTGTGTACATTTTTGGGTTTCACTGCAAACAGGAGCTTCTTAAAGTCTATTTCGCTGCTTTTAAGGACTCCAAACTCCTAAAATATTGGGAAAAAAGTTGCTTAAAAGGGGAAAACCTGTAGCTGACATCATGGCTGCACATTTGAGGAGCTTTTACGAGTTATTTTACGTTTTCCTGCCATCAAATGGACTCAAAAGGGTTAAACTGAGCATCCCAGGTGACATGAGAAACATCCGTCCTGCCTACATGACACCACTTTGTGCAGTTTATCAGCCATTTAAAGCAGATTTTATTGGCTTTAATCTAGATTAGGACTGAGCAGAAGTGTGTTAACGAGTCCTTTTATGACAGCTGAGTGAAGCTACATCCTGGACTCAGACATTCAGCTTCGTGTTTCATCTCTTGCAGGTGAAGTTCGGCCACGGCGAGTGGATGGTGGGATCGGTTTACTACGCCAGGAAGGACGACATCCCCCTGGCCATCATCATCCCCGCCGTGATCGTCCCGATGCTGCTCTTCATCGCCGTGTCCGTCTACTGCTACAGGTCGGACGGGCGGTTAAGCTGGTTACGTATCCGGTCAGACGAATCCGTTCTGTGTGTTCATATGTTTGTTTGTTGTTTGTGCGCCAACAGGAGGAAGAGTCAGCAGGCAGAACGAGAGTACGAGAAGGTGAAGCACCAGCTGGAGAACCTGGAGGAAAGCGTCCGAGATCGCTGCAAGAAGGAGTTCACAGGTACACACAGGTGTAGAGTCACAGGGTTTAAAATCTGTGTGAAAAAAGGGAGACGTGAGGAATAATTGTAGTAATGGTTAAAGCTTTTGTTAAACGAGTTCCTTTATGACATGAAAAGGTGCCACATGCAGCGTTAAGCAGGTCACTACCAGGTGATTTCCACCATAAACTGATGCAGAAAAAGGACAAACTGGTGCAAAAAAAAACTCCTCAGAATGCAGGAATTCAAGCCAAAGATGTCCCAGTAGAGGAAACCCAGATCCCTGCTTCCTGTGTCTGAAAAATGTGAACTTTTGTGGAGGGTGATGGAGAAACCAAACTGTGTGCACCAACGGGAAAGTGGAAAAAAGCTTCTGGTGTTTGTTAAAGTAAGAAGTGTTTATTATCACCTGCTCAGAACGGTTAACTGTGCACAAAGAAAATCTAATTTCATCAATTAGGACGAAATCTTCATAAGACTTAGACGGTTTCCATCCTTCTGCGATGAAAAACATTTCTTTGTCTGTGTATTATACAGATTTACAGATAAGAAGCAAAACTATGTGGAAACGAGGCGTTAGCTTTAGCTTAGCACACGTCTACGATTACAAAATAGCTAAAAAAAAATTCGCCTTAACATTCATGTGTGGTGCTTTTATGTGTTTTATTCAGCTAGAAAATTAAAATTAAGTCACATAACGATGAATTTCTGGCTTAAAACTGCAGAATACTGATGAAAGTCTCAAAACTTGTGGGTTTTGTACGTAACAAATCTAAAGAACCGATCCTGTCTAGTTAGAATAGAAATACTTTATTAGTCCCTGAGGGGAAATTCAGCTGTTGGGGCAGAAAGAGTGAAGCTACCTCCACCGTAAATACGGATAAATAAGATAAAAGATGCAGGAAGTAAAAGTAAACAATAAAAAAATATAAAATGCACAATAAGTAAAAATGTCAGATGTGAACGTCTGTAAATAAGAATGTTAAAGTTTCCAGTTGGTTCTTGTTGTGACTTCATTACTGTCTTTATTATACGAATTGTGTCGCGTATCGTCGTGTTTGAGCAGCGCTGCAGGTGAGCTGGTGTGCTCGAGCTGCGAGATAAATGTGTGGAGACAGAGGCGGGAACTTTGTAGATCTGCACGTTCTAGAAGAGTTACATCCGAGACATTAAAGGGTTAAAAAACACCTAAATATGAGCTTTTCCGATGACGGACTCTGAGTTCCTTCAGCATCTTCTTAACACTCTCTCTGAAGCTTCCTCGTCCTTACATCGACCTCTGCTGCTGTTTCTGCATCAGTCGCCCTAAACTTCAGCTCGTTGTTCTTTCAAACGTTTAACAGAAGGTGACAGGTTCCTGCATGACGCAACACAAACCGTTGATGAAGTAATTTAAAGTGTCGACGTCTCCGTCCGTCCGGTAAACTGGGAGCAGACGCAGCACAAACCTCCACACGTTCCCTCCAGTCACACATTAGAGCTCGCTGCCACTTTGACGCTTCGTCTCCACGTCGTGATCCGGAGCCAGCGGGCGGCGGTCCGACTAAGACGTCAGGAGGACTTCCCTCCGGGTCGTCCGGGGAGCTCGGCGGACCGAATCCGACAGCTCGGTTATTGAGCTGGAGGGCGTCGGCGGACGGAGGACGCTCAGTCAGAGAGGCCGAACCGTCCTCGTTAATATTTATAAAGACGTCAGAGACACAAGAACAAGATGCAGGAGTTCAGGAGGATCATGGAAATCCTGCTTCATGGTGAATTCATGAGCTCTGAACCCACATATGTCACAGTACAGAGGGTTTTAACAACAGAAATACAGGAAAAAGTCATAAAATATGATGTTTGTTGTGGATTAAAACTACCAATAGTAAATACAAGCAGAGCTGAAACAAACTCATTGACTGTTTATAATCATTTTTCATTTAAAAATACCAAATATTTAAATGTTTTAGTTCCTTAAAGGTGAACATTAGCTGATTTTCCTTCTAACTTCTTCAATTAATTTGAATTATTTGCAATAATTTCACCGTGCATACAAAACCGGGACGTTTTTTGTGGACTTTTAATCATTTTTCATTTAGAAATACCAAATATTTTAGTGTCTCAGCCTCTTAAATGTGAAGATTTACTCAATATCAGTTTCAAAGTGCTAACATGAAAGACAAACGCACTGTTAGGTTCATTATTTACATGTTTGTGTTTGTGTAAAGACTGAAAACATAACCATCATCTTGTCTTTTCACATACAGATTGTGTCTTTTCCTGTTAATCCCTCGTTAAGTCCCATCTAAATCAGATTTTTCTGCCTCCGTCAGACCTGATGATCGAGATGGAGGACCACACCAGCGACCTGAGCGAAGGCCGGATCCCCTTCCTCGACTACAAGACCTACACCGACCGAAACTTCTTCCTGCCCTCCAAAGACGGCGCCAACGACCCCATGATCACCGGGAAGATCCAGATCCCGGAGGTCCGGCGGGCCACCGTGGCTCAGGCCCTGAACCAGTTCTCCAACCTGCTCAACAGCAAAACGTTCCTCATCAACGTCAGTCCTTCATTAGTTCTTTGATTTTCTCATTATCTTTGCGTCTGGTTCTCTTCCAGACAGTCTGAACTTTTACATTTAGCAGAGAAGTGTTGATATTTGATGGTTTTTCTTTTCCAGCTGGTGATGCTGTCGACCTGCAATCACCCCAAAACTTTAGACCGCAGACGAGAAATATCAAACTCTAATGACGAGACTGTCAATAAGAGACGTACCGGAGGGAATTTAAATGTGTGAAAGGAGACAAATAAAGACGTTTATAAAGAGACGACGCCGACGCTGGCGGCAGCAGCGTTATAATAATAATAATGTACAACGAATAAATAAGTCAGAGAAAGTCTTCATAGTTCAGAAGCTTCAAAGGTTTATTTACAGAACGATAACATGAAAAAGTCATTTTCTGACCAGTTCAATGCGTCTGAATCACATCTGAGCAAATATATAAATGGAAATGAGGTTCGTATGCTCAAATATAAAAACGATTATTCATAAATACATAGAAAATAGGAACAAATAAATGAAACAATGATAATAAATGAGGCTTGTTTAGCTTCAGCCCAGAGCAGATATTAAATATTCAACCATACCTAATCGATATAGGTCTGGTTTTATTCATATATAACACACGATTCATTAAACTCCAACTGCGGCTAATGAGCTTATTTTCTTATTATCGATTGTTCTGATCGATGTTGGGAATAATTAAACACCTTGTCTGCAAAATTTGAATGAAAAGATGCAGAAAAAAAACAAAGAAAACGTCCTGCCGACATGCAAAAATTACAAAAGTGGGACTTTTCTCATTGTTTAGGCGACGATTTTTTGCAAAACTTTGATGACATTTTGGTTTTTTTAGTGTTTTTTGAGCAGAATTGTTCAAATTTATCTTAATTTATGGTGTAAACAACTCCAGACGTGCCGAGGGTGAGAATAATCTTATTTATTAGGAAGAAAATGAACAAATTACGTCTACTTTCTGTTTCGTACACAAATAAACTCTCATCTGCTCTGTCAGAATAAAAGTCTGTTTACTTCCTTCCAGATTATAAAAGCTTTTTTTAGTAGGAGGGTTAAACTGTGGTTTCCTGAAATCTTGCAGTTCATCCACACGCTGGAGAGTCGGCCCGACTTCAACGCTCGCTCCCGCGGCTACTTCGCCTCCCTCCTGACGGTGGCGCTGCACGGGAAGCTGGAGTACTACACGGACATCATGAGGACGCTGCTGCTGGAGCTGATGGACGAGCACGTGCAGAACAAGAACCCCAAACTCATGCTGAGGAGGTAATAAACTCACCTCCGTTACTTATGCAGGTCGACTCGTACGTTTGATGGTTAAAGCAGCGACTCGTTGCTCAGATCTGACGTTTGTGTTTTTTCTGTTTGTGTATGTAGGTCGGAGACGGTGGTGGAGAGGATGCTTTGTAATTGGATGTCCATCTGTCTCTATCAGTTCCTCCGGGTAACGCGTCCTCTCACTTATTCTGCTTTATTTCCTGCCTTTGATTTCTTCTCTCGTCTGCCTTTTCTTCGTTTCTTCGGTTATAATTGACTCTAAGAAACTTTCCTCGCGCTCCAACCTGTACGGGTTTTTCTTTTTGTCTTGTGTTTTGTTTGGACCAATTTGTTTGTATTTTTTTGGAGAGCCGACGCTGACAGCAGCAGCTGATGTGTTGTGCTGCTGCTGCTGCTTCTATAATTTAACATCCTCCTACAGACTCTTCGGCTGCTGAACAAGTTTTCACTGTTGTGTTTTTTTTATGCCGTCATTAGGATCAGCAGCCGAATTCTGGTCAGATTTAGTCCAAACTCAGACCCCGAAAGTGTCCAAAAGTTCAAGTTAAGGGCAACGAAACTCCCTGAAATCGAAACCAGGGCTTGGTTAGTCTGTTTATTTAGCTAGATGTACAGGAGATAATACACTGTGTAACCTCTTTCTGCTGTATTTAAACTGCCCTCATGCTGTTTTGTATATTTGACAAACTTATAAATGTTCAAATCTGATGCCAGAAAAGAATTTTTTTCACTTTCTGAAGCGCAAAAATTATTTACAATGAAGATTAAATGCAGAACAGAGGTGGACTTATGATGTTTTTAGACTTGCAGGTTGCCTTTTTTGGCTTAAAATGTAAATTAGCTTCCAGACTTTTAAGCAAAATGAGCTGATTGAGCCTTTTAGCATCAGGTAGAGTCTTACATCTGGTGTCTGTGTTGTTTCACCAGTTATAGTAAATAACAAGCAACCAGGAGACTGAAGGAAAAACGTAGGAAGCATCCTTGAAAAGTTCCCGATGCTCCAGATAAAAGCAAAATCCCAGAAACTACCAAGAAATACGCCTCAGAACTGTGTTTAACCCTTAACCCTCCATGTCTGGTTGGTTTGTCTCTGAGGAAGCAGGTCAGTTTATGTTAAGTTTGACTCGTCCTGTCCAGCTAATACGTGTCCAACAACGTTTCAGGACACTGCAGGAGAACCTCTGTACAAACTCTACAAGGCCCTGAAGCACCAGGTGGAGAAAGGTCCGGTGGACGCCCGGATGAAGAAAGCCAAGTACACCCTGAACGATACGGGCCTGCTGGGAGACGACGTGGAGTACTCTGTACTGGTTAGTGGTGGTGTTTTAAACCTTTTCACGCTCTGGTGTCGCCCAATAGTTTATCAGCTGAGACTTGTCAGCAAATTAGATTAGATCCTCAGTCCTCCAGGTCACTCTCGTAGGTTAATCGTAGCAACTGCTTGAGTTCCTCAAAGACGTTTCATCCAAGAGGCTTCATCAGCTCTGACTGACTAGTTGGGAGTTCCAGATATCCTGAAGGAGCCGTTAACATCTGAGTTTTAATTGGGGGTTTGTTGCTCCTCCCCCTCGTTATGCGGGTCGTTAGTGCTCCCCCTGACACAGTGGGGTTCGTTAGGGTCCTTTGTGGCGAGGTGTGGGTTCATCTTCCTGGGGAGAGATCTTAGGACTGAACTGTGAACAGGTGGGAGGTGATGCCTCAGACCTCCACCTCTGTTGAGGGATGGTCGTAGACGGCTTCTTTCACTCCTCTCAAGCTCAAATTACCACAAAAATGGCAAAATAACACCCGTTGTAAACGTACTGTCATCTGACAAAAGAATATTGCGGAATTAACAGCACAGTTGTTGTTTTTAAACCGTGTTTAGTTTTCTGGACGATGTTGTGGTTCTAACAATCAGTATTTTAGTTGCGAAACAGCAGCTTGAAAATAGTTAACAACCGAAAATCTGTAAATGAGAACAGCTTTATTTAAAATGCAATTTAAGTGAGCAGGAGAGAAGCTAACAGATGGAAACAGAAGTTGAGTTTAGATTGAACACGAAAACGCAGGAACCCACCCAACCATCAAAGCTAACGTTAGCCACATTAGCAAAGGATTTTCCTGTTTGCTGTGATGACCTCGCTGCCAAAAATCAAAGCTAATCCGCTGGGTGCTGAGTGCTTCAGGTGCTGGCAGTGCATGAAGACTCTCGTGTTCACTCTTGCAGCCAGAGACAGTTTAGAGTTTAGCAGAAGCTCTCTTTGGCGTTGACTTTGTGACTTTGTGACTTTGTGACTCTGCAGACCTTCAACTTGCATCAATGAGCAGCAGCTACAGAAAACACTGAAGCTAAAGAGTGAATGTTGGCTCTTAAACTGTTTGTGTTGTTGTTCCGTGTGCCTGAAAAAACCACCTGCTTCCTTTATGAAGCTATTTTTTAACCAACTCGTGACGTCTTGGATGGATTCTGTGTCACTGACTTCCTCTGACGCGTTGATGTTTTATTTGCAGCACAAATTGTTCCTCAATCAGCAGAAAACCCACTGACATCCATTCTGTCATCTCGCTGCTGCACAGCCACTATAAAGGTCACCGCAGGAGTTTGTTCTCCATAAGTTCCCCGTCGCAGCGCTGTGCGTTATGTAACCCGGTTCCCTGTGATCCGTGGAGAAAGGCTGGGGCTGTGCTGTGTGTCGTAGTGAACCGTCAGCTGTCTGAACCTCTGCGTTCAGGAAGATAACGGGAGCAGCTGGTCCTCGGCTCTCTCGTCGAGCCTCATCGAGACAAACAGCAGCTGTGTTCGTCGGCCGACGTGACAGAACGAAGCGACTGTAGGCGGCGGCTGTCGCTGTGTTCGTGGTTCTGCTTTGCTTGTTTTGATTCTGACTGTGGCACATTAGCCTTTAATGGCTCCGCCAGCGACTGCGTGCGGGGCGACGGTTGTGTCGGCTTATTGAAGCCCTGAACTCCTGCAGCGCTCTGGAAACGCGTATCCGAGGAGCTGTAGGTTTAAATCCTGTTTAATGATGCTGGTGTGAGGAGGGGACGCCTGTAGACACACGAGGAGAGTTTGTCTGTGAAAATCAAAACCCCTGATTCAGATTTTGGTGTCGGAGTCGCGTCCTCGTGCAGCAATGCTCTGCTCCCGCTGCTCCTGCAACGCTCCCGCAACGCTCCCGTCACGTAAACAGTCACAACCTTCAACTTGAATTTCATTTTGAGGAAAAGGACGGAAGGAAAATCCAGCAAACAGGCCGGGTACGGACCGACGCTGGTGTTGTTGTGCACAAGAAACTTGAGCAAACTCACAGAGTGCTCAGTACGTTTAAAAGCCAACATGTTGTTAACCCCGTCGACCTGCAGACCGGTGGAGCGGCTCCGCTGTATGGCCACTTTCTATACGTTCATTTTGATTGGCTGTCAGTGGGAATCCCCGTATGTGAACAAGTGATAATAATAATAATAATAGTAATAATAACAGCATACAGGGTTCTCTCCAGCATCATAACAGAGTAACGGCCCGTTACGCTGCACATTGGGCCGATACGTTGTTGTCGAGATTACGTAACGGGAACATATTTAACAACAAGCGCCAATGGAGTTTCACTACCGTCGTCTTCGCTGCTATTCGGTAGTGTAATCGCCGCGAACCATTAGCAGCATTTGCTAAGACCCCTCCCCAGGTGGTCGACAGCGACACCGCCCACCCCCACGGGGGACGACGACGATGTTCACCCTCAGGACGGTACAGTGGAAGTTTTTGGTCGCCTGAAACAGACGTTTTTCTTTGCGTAGAAAACATAAAAACACCAGAATCCTCCTTTCATAAAGCTCTACATCTATTAAACTGAATTAGCTTCAACAGTAGCAGACGTTTGCTTGCGTTTGTCGACTCTTTTGTGGTTTTTAGTGTTAATTTAGACCTATTGGAGATTCGTAAGCATTCGTAAGCATAAACTGTCTGTAGAATATGGACGTAGTGATGTGTTAATGTAAGATGCTGTGACTGAGAGCAGCTACTGGTTTGGAGATTGTGGCTCTTTCTTCTCTTGGTGGTAGCTGCAGACCTTCTGTTGAGTCTGATACGTCAGAGCTGATGATCCCTAACATGACGGCTGGATTATCGAGCTGCTGACCGACTGAAGAGTTAAATTTTTCTCTGTTTTAGTTTAAACTCAGCGGTGAAATCACAAATTTGCACATCTGAGTGGTCTTGAACACATCTGTAGGTGTCGACTTTGTGCTGCACCACGATCATGTCCAGAACCTTAAACTGAACTTCTGTCACATCAGGTGCATCCACGACCAGCAGCAGGAAACTTTCACGACTCTGCTGCTCCTCAGCAGGACTAATGAGCGCTAACGTCCGCTGTCATGTGATCTCTCCTCGTCAGAGGTTCCATCAGTTTCAGCTCAAATATGAAGAAACGCTTCTTTTCCGTTCTTCGTCCTTGCAGACGGAACATTTTCTGCTTTTATTTCTGCTCTGCTGTGTCCTGAGACTGACGGTGTGTTTGTGTTGCCAGACTCTGCAGGTGTTGGTCCACGGCGAAGGACCAGATGTGACTCCGGTGAAGGTGCTGAACTGCGACACCATCACTCAGGTGGGTTCCTCTTCGCTCTGTGTTCGGCTTCTTGGCCTCAGGAGACAAATGTTCTCCTCTGGTCGAGTAAAAATGTTTTCATCTGTGGTTTCTGTGAACTTTAGTCTGTAGTTTGATGTGATTTTATCCATTTTAAAGACTCTGAACTATTCCAGTTTTACTTCCTGTGTAACGTAGAGCAGTTTTACAGCGTTTGAGCAGAATCTTTTCTTTTTATTTTCATCTTGAAAAATTCAAACTAAATAACTTTGGTACACAGAAATTAGTTTTTAGGGGTTAAGGGGCGAGACAACACTGTAAAAAAAAATTTAAATAAATAAAAAATCCAGTAAAAATCTGCCAGAATAAAAATGTTATAAAACAGTAGAGTACTATAGTGTTGAAAATTTAAAAATAAATAAATAAATAATAATAATTATAATAAATAAAAAATAAAAAGGCAGGAAAAAAATGGCAAATATTGGTAAATCATATTTTTTTTAATTCAGATTTAAATACAATAGAACTGTGTAATAAATAATAAAGGAACAAATTGTTATTTGTAAAAAATTTCTTTTTGGTATGGACGTTATGTGATCTGTTTCTTGTGATTTCACTTGATATCTGTTTTTTCACAAACCGGGAAAATCACTTCCTAATATTCATATTTTTTCTTTCAATTGACAGCAACTATCTGTAAAATAATAATGAAAATAATAAATGTGTTTTGCTTTTTCTACATACAGTACAAATCTTATAGTTTACTGCCAAATGTTGTTTAAAAAAAAATAAATTAAGTGTAATATAGTCCATTTAATTAAACATTTTTCTGTGTTTTTTTTCTAGTTTCTATCTTTAATTTAACAAAAAAGTAGAAAAATCAGCAGAGAACCTGAAGCCGGCTTCAAAATTCTAATTTTATCGACGTATTGGAGTGAAAAGAGGGATTATTCTCTTTTTATCTCTCCATAAATCTGACGCTGCTGTCAATAGCCTGGGAAAAAGAAATCCATCCTCACGGTGTTTCCAGGAATAAAATATTCTATAAATCCGGCCATGAATGATATATGAACAGCCGGCCGCTCTGTGGAAACCTCCAGCATGTAGATGGGAATAAAAGTGGAACGCTCTGAGCCTTAAGAGGAGCCGGAGTCGAGGTTTCTGCTGCAGAGTCGGAGAGAAAACAGCCTTCAGAGGCGTTTTACAGTCTGAGATGCAAACAGACAAAATGTAGTTTAAGAAAATAAAAACAGATAAATGTGTGTTTTGGATGTTTTCTGTCAGAAGATGTTTGAGCGTCTCGACCACCAGCGAGAGACTAAAAAAACCTGAGCTGCTGTTGTTTGTCTTCACCCTTTAGTTTTTGCTTAAAGGTGACTGAACACCACATCGGTTCCATTGTTCCTGCCGGACGTGGCACCACGGTCAGCCGGTCGGTCGGTCGGCCAGTCCGTCCGTCCGTCGGTCGGTCAGTCTGTCCGTCCGTTGGTCCGTCGGTCCGTCGGTCCATCGGTCCATCCGTCGGCCGGTCGGTCGGCCGGTCGGTCGGTCGGTCGGTCGGTCGGTCGGTCGGTCCGTTGGTCCTTCGGTCGGTCGGTCGGTCGCTGCAGATGAACCCAGTTGATTCCAATCATTTGTAGTCACGATGTGTCTCTGATGTCTGCCGGCGTCGCACAGCTGATGAATGACAATGAGACGTGATCTTAGTTTTTCCCTTTTCACACGTATTAAATTGTAAAACTTTTTGTGTGTGCAGGTGAAGGAGAAGATCATCGATCAGGTCTACAGGAATCTGCCTTATTCTCAGAGGCCCAAGGTGGAGAGTGTTGCACTGGGTGAGAAATCATATATATACTGTTATTGTTGGTCATAATAATAATAATAACGGATATTATGTACAACTGCAGCAACTAAACTGCAAATGACAAATAGAGTAAAAATGCTGTAATTTTACAGTCAAACATTGTAAAATAACAAATGACTATTTACAAAAATACACATTTTAAGATTTTTTATTTACAATTTCAGCCAGTTTTTTAACTATTAATATGAATGTCTTCTGTTATTATATGTAAAACATAAAATACAATAAATTTTAAAACATGGAAAATCTATAAAATAACAGTGAATTTAAAAAATAAAATTCAGGTAAAAACCTAAAAGTAAATTTTAAAAAAAACTAGTGTTTGTGTATAACAGAGAAATTGACTGTAGTGAAGTGAGACGTCGTTTTCTCTGAAGCTGCACATCTGGATCAGCTGTTGGTATGCAGATGTTAACACCTGGACGTGCAGATCACATCAGGAATAACAATAAGAAGCTGTTCATTACAATCTGTGTCTCCGTTTAGCGATGTTCGGCTTCTCTGTGATCTTCCAGCTTATTGTGGGTGTAATTTGAAGTCCGTCTCCCTCCGACTGACATAAACAAAGTCTACAGCAGACTTTGATTAAACATTCACAACAGACAGACAAATGAAGTGCAGAGGCACGAACGCCGTGATTGAACCGCAGATTTTAATGAGTTTTCTTTTTCTTTTAGGTGACTGGAAAGTAGAAGTTGTGTAAATATGTCTTGCGTCAAAATGTGCTTTCTGTCTGACACGTAGAGATTTCCAGCCTCACAAACCGACGGTTAATGAAAACCCAGAACGTTAAACACATGCAGATCAGAATAATAAACCCTCCTCCCTTTATTAGGCCGACTCATTTGAACTAAACGGGGTCGATCCTGTTATTCGGCGCGGCGTGACACTGCAGCGTTGTTGGGATTCAGTAAGTTTCTGTAATAGAAACCCTCCACAGAGGCCGCTCTTTGTGTCCTCGCTGCTCTGAGCAGAACTGAGGCGTCCTTCATGATGCCCGAGCAGATCGATTTCAGGGTCGACCTTAAATACCCCGAGGCGTCCGCAGAGACGGAGGGAGAGGGAGTAACTTCATTAATCCCGGAGAGAGACTCGGAGCAGCTAAATCACGCTGTGTGTTCGCAGCCATCGGCCACAACATTAAAACCACTGAGTGGTGCAGCGAAGAGCACGAGTTGTTGTTGGAAGGTTGGAGAGTTTCTGGTGTACATGGGTCTCCAGAAGTGGTTCAAGGAGGACAACTGGTGAACTAGAGGTAGAGTCATGGGAGCAAGACTTAAAGTACAGCAACAACCAACACTGAAAACTCCTTAAACACCAGAACTGGACCAGGAGGCGATGGAAGAAGGTGTCCGAACTCATCCACTCACCCCCTACTCCGTATCTAGAGACCACTATGTCGTAAACTATGTAGGGGGCACCTTGGCAAAGTAGCATTTCGGACACTACTCGAGCTATTAAATACGTTGCTCGCGAGCCGTGACTTGTGCTGCAGCAGCGTCGTGCAAACACAACAAATTCAGTTCATTACATGGCTGAGAAACGGGCAAGTTCAACAATACCACCTCTCATTCGTCTCCTTTGCGTTCTCCGTCGCGCCTTGTCTGCTCGGTTAGGGACCATCGTCTGTCCACGACTTTTCACGGTGCATTGTGGGATATTCAGAGTGCCCTATAAAAGTAAATTAACATTCGGACAGAACTACAAAATGACGAACACGCTCTTTATAGTGCTCTATGTAGAGTGTAGCCAGAGGTTTTGGTGAATTTTCTTCTCCTTCATGTGGATGTTGCCGTCGTTTACCTGGAGAAGTGATGGCAGCTGGACGAACCGATACTTTATTGATCCTCAGGGAGGCTTAAGATTCACAAGAACCAAAAAAGAATACACAACTTTAATCACTACAAGTCACAGCTAATAAGTAGAAATAAATTATGGATTATCTGTGTCCTTTTTTTGACACCAATTTATCATAGAACAACATTTTGCTTTCATTTAGGGGCATAACTTTATAGGATAAAGCCTTAAAAAATAACAACAAAGAAATGGAGAGGTAAGTTTGACGCTAGCTATTGTTGCTCCAGAGCCTTTTGGTCTTGATGCTGATTGGTTGAAGTCGCCATTTTTCTGCCCGCTTGATGTTCTTCTCAAGCAGATGTTGCCATCAACAGCGTCAGATTAGCTATGTTGGCTAACATAACAAACCTCCATATGTCTCATACGTACTCATAGAGTTAGATCCAGGAACTGATATCTGTCGTTGTTTTAGCTCAGAGAGAGTTAACGTCTTAGTCCTGCACCACAGATTACGATTCGGGTTTCTTCATTGGAAAGCCACCAAATGTCTCAGACCACCGACGCGCCTTCATGGCAGCAGCATGATACTCGCTGTTACGCTACAAACACTGATCAGGAATGGTTCGAGGAGCATGACAAAGAGCTCAAGGTGTTGACTCGACCTAATCAATCTGAGGATGTTCTGCAAAACCAAGTCCGACCCAACATGTTGATACCACAGGACACCTTCATAGTCCAGACCTCAATGGATCAAAGCCGTCCTGTTGGACCCACTCAGTCTTCAGTTATAATGTTTTGGCTTCTCGTTGTAAAAGTGGCTCATATTTATGCATCAAGGTGTTTCTGTGGATGAATGTTGGAGAGAACTGAGCAGGGACGGGATGGACTCTGCTGTTACTGATTATAGCATCACTCCTCTGCTCTCTGTTACATAAAAGTTCAACCTTTTCTCTGTCCACAGAGTGGCGCCCCGGCTCCACGGGTCAGATCCTGTCCGACCTCGACCTCACGTCCCAGAAGGAAGGCCGCTGGAAGAGGCTCAACACGCTGGCTCATTACAACGTGAGTCTCCCGCCGCACGTCCGTCACCGACCGCATCCTGTAATTTCCGCGATGCCACTCGGCGTTAAATTACAGAGGAGCCCGGCGACTCCACGCCTCCCGCTGTCGTGTCGATCTCAGCCGAACGGGCCCTAATCAGGCTTTATTCACTAAATACCGAGCGCCGCTGTCCTCGCCGCGGCGGAGGGATTTAAATAGGCCAATGTCACAAATGACAAATTCGTCTCGAGGGGTTTTACGGCCCGAGCAGCAGAGGACAGCCGTTAAACAGTCCGTCTAAACGAGAGGGAAGCTCAACAAAACATCGTCTGACGGGGAAAAATGGAATAAATGTCATGAAGAAGCGCAGAGCAGAGATCAGACGAACAAAATTAACTCAGCGAGGTGATTCATGTCACGCCGGAGCCAATTACAAAGTCCAGATGTTTGTCTGTCGTCTGAAGACTAAATGAAGATTGTTCCGTGTAGGTAGAACATCAGCAATCAGACACTAATTAGGTAACCAGGTATAAAGATAACGGATTCAGAGCAAAGAGGCGTCACTGATAGAGTCAGTAAATATGGAGGTTATTAGCAGGTTTTAGAGACATTCTCAATCTTCTGAAACCGAAGCAGAGTCTGGAGGAAGTCGACAGAGTTTATTTCAATAAAACACATATTTGTTGTGCAAAAATGGAAAAAATCTGGAAGTCAATTGTGTCACCAACACTGGAAAACCAACAGTGACTCTACACACTACAGACAGTTTGTTACCTGCTGCAGCTCAGGGGTCTTTTTTACAGGATCACCTCAGTGCAAAGGGTTTATTTTCACAAACTTTTAAATGTGAATTAAGAGATTTTGAAGAAATATCCCGATTTTAAGCTTCGATTTGGTTCAGTTTTCTACTGGATCCAGATGAATTGTGATGATTTTTTTCAGTTTTTACAGTTTCTGGCTCGTAAATAGTGTATTTCATGCAATTAAAAAAAGAAATAAACCTTTTTCAGCCCACTGATCGATGTACTACAACACCAGGGTTGCCAAAGTTTGTGTTTTTGACATGAGACACTCGCTTGTCAGTCTCAAACAGCAGCACTCGTCCATAAACATCATCAGACGAGAAAGACAAAGTTTGTTTAGTTTATGACGGAGCTGCATACATTAAACTGTGTTGTGAGTTTGGCCTCTTTTACCTCGATTTACAATTTTATTACATCTATTACAGATTGAAACACCGATAAAATAAACTAGACAGAGTCTGTGATTAATGCAAATAATGAATCTGGTCCAGGTTTAGACAAACAGGAAGTTTAACTCGTTGCTTTCGGCTGTTCAGGAGTTTTTCCTCTGATTATATTAAACACCTTCAGCATCAGACGGGATCCATCTGAGAGTTGCTCCATTTCCGCACAACCAACAGCAGAAATCACTTTAATAAATGCATATGAGCATAAATGATCCCTGACATGGAGACAGGTAACGACAGCGTGTGCTTTCCTTCGCTTCAGAGTTTATATCAGCTGCATAGCGACCGTCCTCCGGCCGAGTCGAGATGTTTTGATTTTGTTGATCCCAAAATTCCTGTCCAATTACAAAAGTCACTAAATATTTAATTACGGAGATTCTTATGTTGTGCAGGAGCGACGTTATTGGATCTGTCGGATGCTGCAGAACGTCTCTAAACATTAAACGACTAAAATATGGCAACAGGTAGCCGAGTAGCAGAGAAAAGGCACCTGTAAGGGACTTCAAACATTTAGGAAATAAACAAACTAAAACAGATGTCAGCCACTTTATTAATTTATTATTTCAGATGTTTTTTTGTATTATGAGACTCCTCTTCCATCCAGAATCTCAACCAAACTCCCCTTTTGTGGCCTTTTTAGCACAAATGTCACTGCATGCAAACGTACGAGCTGCTGGTTTGCGTTCGTGTTTATTTCGTTGCAGGAAACCACAACAGCTGGCGTCCTCGCTGGACTAGCACAACGTCTGCTGTGTTGTGTTCATCCTGTCAAACTTTTTATTTTTGTTGTTGTGCTTCCTCCAGTCTTCAACTCGTCTTCAGGTTTTCTCGAGTTACTACAGCGAGTCATCAGAGGTTCATGCTGCTGCTGGATGTTTTTTAATCGTCTTTGTTTCTGCGTTGCGTCGAGACTTTTTCTTTCTGCGCCGAAACGTCCAAAAAGCTGAAGTGGAGACAAAATGTCAAGCCACCCGAGGCTCGTCCTCGCGCCGCTCGAGAACCGGCAGAAGCCGAAACTCTCGTCTTGACATTTAAGGGAAATAATTTATTGAGAGAGCAGCTGCGAGACGGAGAGCTCCTGAACAACTCAGTGCAAAGTTCAGCTCCAGAGAATCATCATTTATTCATATTCCTCTCGCTGATTTCCGTCTCCTCTTGTCTTTGCAGGTCCGGGACAACGCCACGTTGGTTCTGTCCAGAGTGTTGCACACACAGTCCTTCCATCAGCACCAAGACAACCACGAAGAGAGTAAGAACGGAAACACAAACACTCGGCAAAGCTGAGACGCAACTCCAAGTCCTGTTCACTCAACTGATCGAAGAGTTTCTCTGAAGCTTCTGACTTTACATTTAACATGAAACCATCTATTAAATATTGCCGTGAAAGTCTTCCTCCTGATTATAAGGACGTATGAAACTATGGATTTCCAAATCAACCTCAGATTCAATGCAGCTCATTTAATATTTAGCTTCTTCCGATACCAAATCCCGATCAAATACCATTTTCAGATTATATTAAAGTTACTAACCTCCAGTGTAGAAGTTTAATAACTGAAGAACTCTTTAATGCATTAAGAAAAACTGCATTTTTGCATCCTGACATTTCATGTTAGACGGTAGGATGTACTGAGGCTCCAGGAGCTCCAGGAGCTGTTCTATTCCAGAAATGTCTGAATAAAGCTGTAACAGACATGAAACTTGTCCATCCTGGCAGAAAACGCCCTGCTGGAGGACGACAACACCTTCCACCTGGTGAGGCCGGCGGATGAGATTGACGAGGTGAAGTCGAAGAGAGGCAGCATGAAGGACAAGGCGATGACCAAAGCCATCACCGAGATCTACCTGACCAGGCTGCTGTCTGTCAAGGTATGAACCATGTTGTAGGGGCGGCATGGCGGCGGCAGCATCATGATGTCTGGATGCTAACCGGCAGCAGGCCCTGGAAAGCCTGACCAGATGTTTCAGTAAAAGCTAAATATGTTAAATCACGAAGGCGTTCGGAGGTGGTTTGTTTCTTCTGCCACCAAATATAATGTTTGACTCCCTGAAGGCTCCTGATGCGTATTTATATACGTTTGTTTTGTGTTTTTCAGGGCACTTTGCAGCAGTTTGTAGACGATTTCTTCCGCAGCGTGCTGTGCTCGAGCTCCGTCGTTCCTCCCGCCGTCAAATACTTCTTTGACTTCCTGGACGAGCAGGCGCAGCGACACGACAACGTGGACGAGGAGACGCTGCACATCTGGAAGACCAACAGGTACGAAGCAACGGACACCCACAGGAGAACACATGTCCAAGGTTCAGGTGGTGGAAAACCTGTTTTTATTATTATAATATATCAGTGATAGAAGATCCAAGAAAAATGTTGTCCACGTGATTCACTGTTGAGAAAGTCTGAGTTTTATGGCAGCGACACAAAATGTCTGAAAAGAAACATAAAATGACGAAAAACAGATGCAAAGTGACTGGAAAGGGACGCAAGATGTACAAAAACAGGCACAAAATTGCCAGAAACAGACAAAAAAAAAGGCTAGATATAAACACAAAAGTCTAAAAAAGACACAAAATAAGCGAAAACAGACAAAAATAAGCAAAAAGAGACATAAAATCACCACGACCTGACATAAAATGACCAGAAAGAGACACAAGATGTACAAAAATAGGCACGAAACTACCGTGGACACACACAAAACGACCAAATATAGACACAGATGTCTAAAAAGAAACACAAACTAAGTAAAAACAGACAAAAAATTGGCAAAACGAGACACAAAGCTATCACAAACAGACATAAAATGACCTCAAAGACTCAAAACAAATAAAGAAAGACTTCAAAGAGACACAAAATGACCAAATATAGACAGAGACGTCTAAAAAGCCACAGAAAATGAGCAAAAGCAGACAAAGATTAGCAAAAAGAGACACAAAACTCCCACAAACAGATGGAAAATAACCTCAAATAGACATAAAATGACCTTAAAGACACAAAAAGACTCAAAACAAATAAAGAAAAGACCAGAAAGAGACACAAAATGACCAAAGTGAGACATAAAACAAGCCGAAAGAAATGCAAAACAACTAAAATCACATAAAATGATCACAAACAGAAACAAAATGACTGAAATGAGAAACAAAAAGGTAAAAAACTAGAACATCTTGGGCTGTTTTTTAGCCGTTAGTGTCGTTATTAATCATAGTTGTGATTTTAAATGAGGTTTTCTTACTTCTGGAAGTTCTGCTTTTGCTTCATTGTTCTGCAGATTCGAGGCTGCAGTTAGAAATAAGAATCACCTTCATCAAGTTTGTCTTGTTTTAATGTTTCTACCCAGAAATCTGTTCAAAAGATTCTATTAAAAGCAGTTTTATGTTGAAAATATGAAGGCACAGGCTATAATCTACAAGAAAACGTCCTTTCCATTTAACTCTCGAGGCGTTTCAGCGACGTCGCTTCTGTTCTGAGCTGCTTCAGCAGGAAAAACTTCACATTTTGTGGATGAAAACAGAAAGCTGAAGCCAGAAGCCTCCTGAAATCTTTGTGACTTTAGTAAATCTGGACTAAATCCTCGTGTCTGGAGCTTGGTGTGGACACAGAGCTCCGCCTGCAGATGGTTAAAAACCTCTTCCTCCATTATTTACTCGCACAAATCCCACTTTCACGCCAGCATACGGTGGGATTGTCGTTTCTCTGATTATCACTCCAGGGTTTGGTCGTAGCTCAGAAGCCATGTTGGATTTTTCTCTGATAATAACGTCAGAACTCGTGCATTCATGCAGACGACCTTCGAGGACGACGTTAACAGACTTTTACGTGTTCAGTGAAGGCAGCAGCAGCAAACACGGAGCAGGAGGTTGTTTCTGTTTGGAGTCAGAGGTCAGACCGTCGTATGAACAGAGGTGGACGCTGGAATGAAGCCGCCGCCAGCGTTTGACACTGAAATCAGGAAATAAAAGACAGGAAGCAGCTTTTATCATTTCTACATAGAAGCCTAGAAATACCGAGTTCTAGTGGTAAATATGAAAAGAGATCGTGAAGGACGGACGTGAACCACAGCTCAGGTTGTTCGTCCTTATTTCTTCACTGTTTGCTTGTATTTTGTATTCTCTGGTATCTTGTCCTATTTTATTTATATATACTGTATATATATATATATGTGTGTATTTATGTTATTCTTGTGTGTACACGGCGGCATTTTCTCTGAATGTGCTGCACATCTAGAGATACAGATGATAAAGTCGGCTTAAAAACA